GGATAAACTGTAGGTGCTAATGTGTATGCTAGTAAGAAGGGAACAGCTAAAGGTAAACTACCTAAACTTCTACCTTAAGGTATTAGAAAAAGAATGACAAGTTAAAGTGAAGAAAATAAATTAAATGATGTAATAAACCAATAAGCAAAAATCAAAACTTTAAAAATATTTTAAATTTCATAAAACCTGAGGTTAGGTTTCAATGAGTCAAAATGAAAGTGATGAATAAAGAGGAAAAAGGGAAAAGAAAGGAAGGAAGGCAGTGGGGAGGGGGAGAGAGAGATTATTATTAGAAATAAAATGTAGTATTTATTACAGCCCCAGAGAACATAAAATAGACAATAAAGGGGTATTATGAATAACCAAACACGTGCCAATAAATATGACAAATTTAGGTAGATTTTCAAATTCCTATACAACTTCTCCAAAATGGCAAAAAGAAATAGAATATATAACTAATCTTATCTATTGAGGAAATTTAAAGCAAATTTTTAAAAATTCCCAAAAAAGAACTCAGAAGTACTTCTATGATAAACTTTCCTAAACATTTGAGAAAAATGTAATAAAATACAACAAAATTATTTTAGAGAAGAATATCTCAGCATAACTGTGATCATAAAATCTGATAAACACATTGCAAACTACAGATAAATTATCACTCAGTAAGCACAGATTAAAAATATCCTAAACATACGTATGGTTAGCTAATTTAAAATATAGTAATTAATGTATGCTTATAGGGTCCAGGTGCCTTTTCAGTAAATAATTCTTAATTGATTAGATATCTGTGTGAAAAATGAATCCTGGTCCACTCTTCATGCCATACACACAAAAATAATTTGAGATGAATTATAAACCCAAATGAGAATGACAAAACAAGCCCAGAATAAACATTTTTTTGATCAAGGGATGAGGCAAATTTTTCTTAAATAGGACTCAGTGCTAATGTCAATTATCTACATTTAACTATAAACATTAGATATTATCAAAGTTACATTGAGAAGTTTTTTCTATTAAGAGATCTCATTTCCAAAGTGAAAAAGCATTTCATGGATTAAAAGAGGATATTATGCATGCAACTCATCAACAAACACAACAGCGGGTGCATGTACATATCCAGAACATATTTAAAAATTCTTACAAAATTAAATAGAAAAAAACCCCAGTAATTTCCCTCAAATGAATAAAAAACATGAACAAACATTTCAGAAAAGATAAAATTCAAGTGGTCAATGAGAATATGAATATATGCTTATAAACAGCCAACAGATTAATGCATATTAAAACCACAATAAGATATCTATATCCATTCTGGATGATTAAAAGTAATTGTAATAACAATATCAAATGATGACAAGGGTCTGGAACTACTGCAACATACATACATTCCTGTTGGGAGGATAAACTACTACCATCATCTTGCAAAATTGTTTGAAATTATTTACATTGATTAGATGTATGTTCTGTAGAATATATATTCATGTCTACTATAAGATGTAATTGAACCATTTTATTGTAGTAGCCAAAGAAAAAGTTGGGAAATGATGTCCATCAACAGAATAGATAAATAACTTGTGCTGGATATACCCAACATGGTACTACTACAGAGAAAAGAAAAAAAGAGCAAAGTATGAAAAATGCTACTGTAAAAATGAATCTCATAGAGCTAATGTTGCATTTAAACAAACCAACACAAAGAATAATTAATTCTGGGTCAATTAATGGGAGGACCAGGATTGGATAGATATATGATGACTCTGAAAACAAAAATTAGGATGATGAAAACGGTCTCCTGACCTGCAGAAAATAGTCTATAGCCTGACCTCACTCTATGCATACATGAAGTTTACTGAGTTGTACACTTAAGCTTAGTGAACTTTATTATAAGTAAGATATACCTAAATATTGTACTAAAAGAAAGATCTATGAGTAAATATACTGGTAAATATGTTAGAAAATCAAACATTGACATTATCCAATAATAAAAATAAAACACCTGACATTTGGGGTAAGAGTTAGAATTCAAGTACTGACAACCAATGTTACTTAATTTAAATGTGCTGCTAAGTGTATTATAAAACTAGCCAAATATTCTAAAAGCTGAGAATCCAATGAATGTGTTAAAAATGTAATAAAACTAAAATATTCCTGAAACATAAGATTCATATAATCTAACTTCCAAATAGGAGGAAGAAAAAACGGAGAGGGGCTGGGGATTTAGCTCAGCGGCAAAGCACCTGCCTGGCAAGCGCAAGGTCGTGAGTTCGGTTCCCGGTACCGGAGAAAAACCAAAAAAACAAAAAAAAAAAAAAAAAAAAGAAAAAATGGAGAATAGAAAAGGAGGAAACAAAAAGAGGGAAAGGAATAAAAAAGGCAAAAATGTTAAAGGAAATAATATGATGTTAGAGTAATTCTATTAAGAGTTACAATAGATATAAATGGATTAAATTATTCAATGAAAAGTTATAAACTGTCAAATAATATATTTTAATCCAGAATTTTAAGAACAGTCAAATTTACTATGCGTGTATGTAAGGTGAAGATTGAGAAAGATTTAAAGTCAACAATGGCTGGAATGGTGGCTTGGTATTGGTGCTTGTCTTGTGTGCACAAGGTCCTGGGTTTGACCTTGTGTATACTGAATACAGGTACACATATAGATTTACCAAAAGTGACCCCATATGAAAATCTGATGAGTTTTGTAATCATTGAAGTAATTGAACCAACACGTTAAAAATCTCCTAAATGCTAAACCCAGAGGATTTTTCCTAGATGATCTGAGGAAATATTCAAAGATCAGCTCATTCCAATCTTGCAAAAATTATTCCATTAACCACTAAAGAATATGACCCATATTAGTTTATGATGATAGAAACCTCAGATAAGGATAGTACATAAAATGTCAGTTACAGGCCAGTATCAATTCACAGTCAGATACAAATGTATTTGTCTCTATAGCTATATATACATGTAAAAGTTACAACATATATACCAGTGGAATGCTTTTCCATACATCTCAGACTAACTAAAAATGAAATTTGGTAAAACCAACTTATGACAAGTATGTAGAGCAACAAGAGCATTCATTCTTTGCTCGAGGGAGTGTAAACTAATTCTACATTTCTGAAATAGCTTGGAAATGAACTAATGAAGTTGAGTATGTGCAAATTGTGTAACCCAGCAATTTTAAACCAAGGTGTAGCCTTCAGGGAAACTCTTGCACATCTGTTCAAGGTTGTTAGAGAGCAATGTACCCTGATGTATCCCTGGTAGTAGGCAGCCTTTAACATGCTCCTCAGTAGTTCCTGCCTCCAGGTATTCGTGCCCTTGAGAAATCCTCTCCCTTCCAGTGTGGGCTGGACCCAGTGCTTCGCTTATGATGAATAGAAAATAGCAAAAATGACAGCCTGTCACTGTTGAGATTAGGTACAAAAACAATCTGATTTCTCTTTCTGTCTGGAAGCCTTGGCTTTGGGAGAAGCAAGCTGCCATGCGGTGGCCAACTTTATACAGAGGTCCAGGTGACAAAGAACTGGCGTGTTTAGCCCGAGTGGTCGAGGTCAGGAGCCTAGCTACAGTCTTGAGAGTCACTTCTATCCTTGAGAGGACTCAGACCACAGGCAGCACCTTGATCTCCTGACTAAGAAGCCTATGACAGAGCTGGACTCAGACACCCCACCACCCCTGCTTTCCTGATCAGCAGAAACTGAGATAACAGCAAGAGAGTTTTCTTTTGTTTGCTTTGGGTTCTTTTGGCTTTAAATTGCTAGGTGTTGGGAGTAATCTGTCACATAGTTATCCATCTCCCGAGATAATGCAAATGCCCGTGGGCATTAAAATGGAAAAAAATATACTGAATTGTGAACAATGAAAATGAAAGAAGCAAGACCCAAATAATTAAGAATATGTACAGATGATATTCATTAGTAAAAAAAGTAAGCAAAATCAACACGTTTTGGGGACACACACAGATAACACAAATGTCAAGAAAAGCGAGGGAATGATCACAAGAATTCTGATGAACGTCTGGTCTCAGGGAAGGAGAAGGAATGTGGCCCCCTTCCCATTACGGCATCTAAGGTATTACAACGGCCTATTTCTTGACCTACAAGGTGGTCAAGAATTCATTTCATTATCCTTATATCTGCTCTTCAATGTTCTATATTCTTTTTATTTGTAAATTGTTAAGAAAGCAAAACCAGGTGAAAAAGAAAGCAAAGTACTGAAATGCAATCACTCAATGAATCACTATTTTGGAGGATGAAAGGACAGCCAGATGGCTGGCTGGTCAGCTAGACGGAGACATTTGTTCTTTATGTCTACTTAAGAGCTGTACTTCTTCCAAGCTTCCGTGAATATGCAACTGACAAAGATCTTTTTTCTCCTGTGTTGTACTTAAGGCCTTACCCCTCCCCTGCAGGTTGGGCCAACTTGGAGGCCAGCTCCCGGTGTTTATCTGGCCCTGGCTGCTTCAGTCCTAAACCCTTCCCGAGGCCAGGCGCCCCTCCCACCGCCACCGCCCTGCCCTCACCCAGAGAGATCAGAGCCGCGGGGGGCGCCTGCAGCACTCGGGAGAGGAGGTCTTTTACCTGGGGTGGGGGTTAAGCAGACGGAGCTGTCCCAGAAAAATTCAATCCCGAGCCTCAAGCAGGTGAGAAAGCCTCACCACACCTCCCCTTCACCTTTGATCCATCCCAATGGCTCCCTGCGGAGCACAGGCCATATAACAGGAAAATAGGGGGTCGTCTGCCTCCAGGCAAGCGGGGGAAATAACAATGAAATGGATGTGGAGCTGCAGAGATAAAACAGAGAAGCAACAGAGGGAGGGCTGGAGGGAGGAGCCCCGGGTGGAACATCTCTGCCACCCCAGGGCGCGCACAGAGCCCCCCACCGCCCTACCCCCATCCTCACCACCTCTCCCCCCCCCCCGACACCCCGCCCCCGCGCTCTGGCCTTGGTCGCCTCTCCTGGTCCAGACCTCATCGCTGGTCACCACTCACCCTTTGGTCCGCAGTTGCCTGCAGCGCGGGTTGGGGCGGACTGGACTAGCGAGGAGAGGGCAGCGGCGGTTCCCAAGGGGAAGCTTTGCCACCGAGGAGGGACTGGGCGGCAGACTCGAGGCCTGGGAAGCGGAAAGTCTCCGGCTGCCAGCAGGACGCGGAGGGGGCGGCCCCCGAGAGCCGATTGGCCGCAGCAGGGTGGGCGGGGCAGAGGCGCTGCTTTGTGTCAGCTCCACCCGAAGCAGCAGCCCCCATCTCAGGATGGAGACCCAGGCGCCCATCCTGGCCGAGTAGCGATTAGTTTACAAAGCAACACAGCAAAGCCCCTAATACCGTGAACAAATGGGGCTTCGATCAATGATGACAGCTGTTTTTCTCAAACATAATTTTTAACCATAAATGAATCTATGGGTCAGAGATATATTTTTAGTCAAAACTCTGCTTGCAGTAAAATGGAGTGTACAAGGATGTTCTTAAAAAGTGTTCTGCGTGTGGTATGTGGGGCAGGGCAAAGACTGAAATTAACTGTTGACGGACAATAATACTAATCATTATTATTGAAAATTATTATTGAAAATAATATTCTAAAGTAGCACATGTGCTGTTTTATAAGTTTAGTAAAGCAGTAAGGTGCTAGGTGTAGCTGGTAACGCGTCCGGACTTTGAAGCTGCCACTTTCTCTGTTGACCCGCTGGTTAGTGTCTGATTTTCCTGTGGCCACTCTAGCACGCTACCACACATTTAGGACCTCAAAACAGCACACATTTCTATCCTAGACTTCCGTAGGGCAGAACCTCCCATGGGCCTCACTGGGGTATGGTCGAGGTACAGACACAGCTGTGTGGCTTTTGGGAGGGGAGAATTATTTTCCCAGATTTTTCCAACTTCCAAAGTCTGCCCCCAAGTCTCCAGCTTGGGGCTCTTTTTTCACTGGAAAAGCCAGCAACTTCTGCCTCTGCTGTCACAACTCCTTGACTCTCCCTGTCTGCCACTGTTACTCATCTCTAGAAATTCTTGGAACTACTTGGAACTCCTGTTTCTAGAACGACTATCTCCTTCTTGGAAGTACCATCTCCAGAACTACTCGGAACTCCTCTCCATCATCCGGGATAATGTCCCCTGTCATGGTCTGTTGAATAGTAGCTGATTCATACCCTCGGTTCTCCCTGGTCAGGTGACACTGTTTCCTCACAGGTTCTGGAAATGGGATCTGCTCATCTTCATGAGGCCATTTTCCTGCGCGGTTTCTATCTCAGGACTTCATTCCTCACATGGAGCTGGGGATCCTCCAGCTCTCAGCACCAGGAAGACGGTGAAATGAGTAACACAAGTGAAGTACATAAGGCAGCACCTTGCGCACGGCAAACGCTGCGTGGACATTCATTATGACCACACGGGTGAGCAGATCATCCCAGACCTCTTCTTTGATTCTTTGCAGTACACAGTTACCAGGGACCTCACGCTATACCCGACCTTTCCTGTACATAGTGTGTCTGTTCTCCTCCTCTGCTGGCTTTCTCCTCTCACCTGGGGCTGGTATACCAGTCTCCTCTGCATGCTCATGACCTGGCCCTTTATCTGTCCTCAATCCAACAGGCCTCCTTGCCTCACCGCCCTGCTTCCACTTTCCTATTCATTTCTCTTAGGCCATTCTGTTCATCTTTTCTGTTCTGTGTGCTTCATCTTTGTCCCCCAGATACTTCAGCTTCTCACAGATAGCAGGCACAGTGAGTAGAGGACATTATCAGGAGAACTCCTGCCTGGTGTTCTCGCTGTCACGTACTAGCCACTTAGGAGTCCACTGCTTTTCTGATTTGGAATGTAACAGAAGGGACTCTCCCTTTTCCCCAGGGGCTGTCAGCACTAGGCTTGGAATCCAGCGAGGGCTCCTATCTCTGCTCCTTCCTTCCCAGGCACAGAGCCAAGAGCCTGGAGCCTGTGAGGTCAGAGGACAGAGAGGCTGGATCAGGGAGCTGGGCTGGGGGCGGGAGCCAGGGAGGAGGATAGCGGGGGGGAAAAGCATGACTGAGTTGCACCAAACCTCGCTGGCATTTGTCAGGATGTTGAGTGGGGGAGGGCTCGCCTGCAAAGCTGGCCCTGTCTTCTCCCAAGGCCTGAAACACACACACACACACACACACACACACACACACACACACTGACTAGAGGACTCTGGGTGGTGTCAGAGGTCTGGGGCTGAAAGAGTGCTAGCATCTGCTGATTTTCAAGGTCTCGCTCCGTCTGTATCTGGAGGAACCTTTTCTGTGGCTTGTATCTTCTGGTCTTTTCTCCATAAGCGAGGAGATTGGATATTTAAACTCCCAAACTAGGTGACCAACTGCACAGCAAAACAACACCAACTAAAAATGGAGCGGTGCTGTGTGTCTGGGGAGATGGGACAGCAGGCATGCGTCCTGCTAGCTGTCAGCATCTGAGTGCAGGAGAGGTACGGCAGAGAGAAATGCACCTGTTTTGGCAGAGAGACTGAGCGAGCTCAGCTGCAAAGAATCCTGGTCTATTGCAAACCGCTCACAATCGGGGAACACCCACCTGGCACCTCAGGCCCCCTGCAGTGCCCCAGTAACTGCACAGACACCCCGGATGTCAGACCCTCCAAATACTGCTTGTGCCTTTCACCATGGTAGTTAGATAACAATCTTCTTCTGTGCGGGTGTGTACCTCACTATTCATTCCCTAAAGCCTCTGAGAAGCAAGCTACCCTGTCTGCCCTCCAGCCTGGAGCCAGATTGGCAAGGTAGCTCAGCAGGAGGACAGACTTGCAGGAAACTGAGTAGAGGACCCACATCTTGGAGAGTTAGACAGTGAAGGGATTGAGGGGGAGTGGAGTCACGTGGTCCCCCGATCTCTTCATGCTAGATTGGGAGCCCAGGGAGCATGGGTTTGGTGACCTGAGATAGATCGATTTCCACTTCCTAGAATACTACCGTAACATGCGGGGAGGTAGAAATAGAGATAGAAAGCCAGAGCTAAAGATGGAGCTAGAGCAAGAGCGAGGAAGAGAGAGAGGGAGGGGGAGAGAGAGAGAGAGAGAGAGGGAGAGAGAGAGAGGGAGAGAAATTCATTCAAAGGCGCATTTAAAAGGCTGTCTTGGCTAGACCGGAAGCCAGGAAGGGAAGAAAAGGGAGTGTTGACGCTGAATTTTAGAACTTACTTTTCATGGCTTGGCCGGCATAGACTGCACATCTTTGTCTGTTTTATGAAATTTCTAGCTTCTAGTCTTGTGTATAGTTTAGAAATCTAAACCTATATCCACGACTGAGAATGTGGTAAGGTAATTTTTCTGTCTGCAGAGTAAATTTTGCCGTCCTGTCCGTTTCCCATCATGGGCCCCTCCTCTCAGCCGGGGAGCTGGCATTTGCCGTTGCTCACTTAGTTACGTTGCTAATGTGAAACCCGAAGGGCCAGGGCAACTGCCACGGTAGTCATACAGGATGCCACACTCAGGAGAGCCCTTGGGAACTCAGGAGACCCCATGTTCATTTTAATGCTCTACTGCTGCCATCCTGAAAATTCTCATTACATTTTAAACAAGGCACTTTGCATTTGCATTTTGTGCCAGTGTCCCAAGTGAGGTAGTTGTTCTGCTGAGCATCCTGAAGAATTCAGGCCTTCCTAAAACCCTGAGCTACCAAACAAGCTATGGGATAGGGAGGACTTTGGAAAACCAGCAAAACAGAGATTTAAAAAAAAAAAGTCCAGAGAGGAAGGGTGAGGTCTGCGTACTCCCACAGAATGGGACGGGGCTGAGGATGCACATCTTGTGGTGCCCGGCAGAGCTGGCCAGAACTCAGAAGGGACAGTTGGGACCCCGGCAGTGACTACGATGGAATTTTCTGTTAACTTGCCAGGATATTATCTGAACATCGGAATGAAGCTAATTTACTAAAAGCAAAGTAAATCACATTTACTTTACTTACGTGACTTTTTTTTTGGTACTGGGAATTGAGCTCATGAACTCACACTTGCCAGGCAGGCACTGTGCTGCTGAGCTATATCCCCAGCCCAGAAGTTTTTTTTTTTGTTTTTTTCCTCAATCTTTAAAGTGACTTTGGGAGTAGATCTTTCTTTTCTCAGAAGTTTTCAATTAAGAATGAAAAGATACTTCATGAGCTACTTAAAACATTTTTCAAAATTCATCTAAACTGGAAGTCACACATCTACAATCTACAACTTAGGCTTGGTGGTCAGAGGTGTGTTTAGGAGGTCTGAAATCTTGTAAATTTCCAACAATTAAGAAAGCAGTAAGTTTTGTTTGTTTGTTTGCTTGCTTGTTTGTTTTTGCAATACAGGGTTTGAATCTAAGGCCTTCTCACTGAGTTACATCCCTAGTCCTTTTAATTTTTTTTTTTTTTTTCTTTGAGAAACAATTGCTCTAAATTGTCCAGGATGGGCTCAAACTTGATATCCTCCTGTCTCAGCCTTGCAGCTGAAATTGCAGCACGTACATCTACATGCAGCTAACGTCAGGTTTTAAAATCGGGAGGATCTCCTCGTAGGGACCAGAACCCCACCTTCTTTTGAGTAATCTGAAAATGGAGCGCAGGAGCGCTGATGTTCTCATGGCACCGCAATCCGAGGGTGCTTTTAGGATGCTTTCCTGTTTATCACACTGTGCACAGCCTCCTAACAGCCACATCAGGTCCCCGCCCTGATCTTTGTAAGTACTGGGATTTATAATCATGCCCCAAATGTTTACTGCATGAGACTTGCTGCATTGGCAGAAAGGAAATTCCTGCAGGGTGGAAAACGTTGGAAAAGTCAATGTAGAGTCATGAGGGTCCCTGATAGACTTTTGGAAACTCCTACACGTTTAAATGATAAGACACCCATGTGACTCCTCTGGGTCACCGTTAGGGATCCTCTTTAGCAGGGGCTCCCACCAGTCTGTAATTCGGGAAGTAGCATAGAAGAACCAGCTGCTTAATGGGAGCCCACATGACATGTGAATTTAAGGACTGGTTTCTGGTGGTAAACAAGAGCCCAGTGTTCCCGGGGTTGCGGTGAGATGACTTCCAGTGAGCCGCAGGGCACTGTTGTATTGCATGTAGAGGTACACACACAGGGCCGTGGGGCTTGGTGCTGTTGGGGTGAGGAAGTTTCCATGCTATGCCCTTTTTCAGGGTCAATTTCA